AGTAACAAAAACACTGTCATAATATAAACTGCATTGCGCTATGAGGACTGGAAGGAAATTGCATCAAGAATTTGCATTATTTTGCTAACCTGGCATTGGAAATAGATCTCACACCTGCCCCTCACTCATGAGCAATCCAGGCCCTGCTTCCAGAGAGGCACCATCATGAGTCCCCTGTAGATCCAAGCAGTCTCATGATCACAAGGTAGGCACCAAAACTGCTCCACAACTCCTTTAGGAAGCTTAACTCCCATTCTGCAACAGGTTTTGCTGGAATCCGGGGTGACTTGTTGATGGATCAAAATGTCAGCTGTCAATACACTAAGCTTCATGTTAGTGCTGCAGTTAAACAGAAGCCAAGGTATGGATAGGAAGAGCTCCTGAACATAACCTGTGCCCTAAAAGCTGGTTCCCTTGAAAACTCAGTGGCAAAACTCCCAGTGATTTAAGTGAAGATGTACCAGAGCAGGTTTAACATACTCCATTTGTGGCATTTGCCTGATCTAGGGTGCATTCCTGTTTATGGTTCTCGTGGTCAGTGGTTCCACATATGCTGTTCATAGAAGTGGGACAAACCAGGTTAGGAACCCAGAAAAAAAAGGTCTCTAAACGATTTTGTGTAGTCACAGAGCCAAGAGTACAGGCACTGTGAAGGGACAAGTTGCAACAGCAGTGACAGCACCCAGTCCATCATTGCCAAGGAAACCAGACCTTTGATTCCTGAGCTGTAGCAAAACTCTTACTCATAGGTAAACAGAAAGTTAATAAAAGTACCTCAAATCAAACTCAAGTGAGGGGGAACAGAAAAAAACCAAAAAACCCCAGAGTAATAATTTTATTACTGAAGTCCTAATTATAACTGCACTGAAAGGCCTATGTATAACTCAGATACACGCTGCAATTGCCTTTACGATCCAAACTGAAACAGGAACCTCAATAAATAATCACCTGTTTCAAAATTTAGGTAAAAGTCCCATCAAAAGGATGAAGCAGAACAATACTTCATATGCCTATTCTGGCAGGGACCTGTTTGCAATGTGGGTATTTCTTCCACAGGTGTTTGACAGCATCTTATGCAATGGTGTCTTTCATACCTGAAAAAAATGAACAAGAAGTAGTGATTTGGCTGTACTGATTTAGCAGTTTGAGAACTAAGATGCTTTTATACATACATAATATATCCCTACATAAAGATATTTGTAATCATAGAATATCCTGAGCTGGAAGGGACCCACAAGGACCCTCAGTCCAACTCCTGGCTCTGCACAGGACACCCCAAGAATCACACCATGTGCCTGAGAGTGTTGTCCGAAGGCTCCTTGAACTCTGTCAGGCCTGGTGTTGTGACCATTTCCGTGGGGAGCCTGTTCCAGTGCCTGACCACCTTCTGAGTGAAGAACCTTTTTCCTAATGTATGCATTTTTAAAAAGGAGCTTCAAAAAATTCATCTCTCTGTGTGTTGAACACACTTATTCCTTTTTACTTACAGCTTCTCTGGTTATCTTGATAATACCACCAGTAACTCCCATGTCACTGGACCACCCTGTTGTGTTATATCACACCCCAAAATGATTCAGGACACCTCACCCACAATGGCAGTGAGCAGTGGGTGATTGAGGGGACTGCCCTTTGTTTGTACCCTCCTGCTAATGCAGCCCAGGATCGAACTTTAACACAGCAAAATACTGATCTCAGGCACTGCTGGCACCACTCAGGGCTGCAGCTCTGGGGACCACAGTGACACGGTGGCTGCTTGTGGTATAGCCACTCACCCTAAGAACAAAAGTGTGTGGACACGTGAAAAATACCACCCTTTGCATCTTAACAGCCCAGAGTGAGTAATTTTCAAACAATTGATAAGCCTCACTTACCATGGTAAGTACAGGCTGAATCTCATGAACACGGGAGAAGAAACAAGGGAGAAATTTTCTTTGTTAAGAAAGCTGATGGTGGCATTAATCACTTTATTAAAATGGATGGCATTTAAGAGAGGCTGTGTCTTTGCAAAGCACTTTTACAGCTATGTCTGTCAGTTTCCTGAATTTTATAGAACATTTTTATACAGCTGGTTTGCATTTGGCTTTTAGTTTTAATGTTTTCTGTTCATTAAATCACGAAACTAATAAAACCTAAACGATTGAGATTTCTCCAGCAGCACATGAACGTTCCTAATGCACAGTGTTATAATTTAATAAGCATCTCAATTGACTATTAAAATCCACATTATGATCAGAACTGTAATTCCAAAGATGAGGTCTTCTGAAAGCTTAATTTACTATGGTGGGAAGTGGCAGCTGCTCCAACTCAGCAAAATTAGCTTTTTTAACTGAGATGCCAGGGAAAACAGATGTAGATGAGACAATAACAAGAAAAACAAAATCCACCGCCACCAACGCACAGGTTCATTTCTCATGACCAGAAGATTCAAGGAGGGATTCTGTGGACACATTAGCAGTGAAAAGGAGGAAAAGGGAAACATGGATCCAATAGAGAACAAAATAGGGGGACATAGTGACAAATAAAAGGTCAAGGGTCTCGATGACTTCTCTGCCCTGTGGTTGGCTCTAGTTCCTGGGCTCTGCTGAATTCCAAGATTCCTTTTCTCTCTTCAAGCAGCAGCCACAGGAGTTGCCAATCACATCTCGTGGTCAGAATACGGATGAGCACCCAGGTGAATCTTCCCAACTGTTCACCAGACATTCAGTGAAAAACCAGTGAAACGCTAAGCATCAGCCATTGTGCCCATCCACTCCCCCACAGTGACTCAGGTTTGCTGTCCTCTCACTGCAGCATTCACTCTGATTTTCATAATCTCCTAATTAGAAAAGGGTCAGTCCTGAATTCCTAGCAAAACATGAAATCAAAATAATAACTTAAAAAAAAAAAAAAAAGAAGGACGAAACTATTCTGGCTTTATATACTGCTGCAGATTTTAAGAGTGTTATTTTTTCCCTCATACAGGAAGAAAAGCAAAAGGCTGAGGAAACCAACATATTAAAAGACTGATAACAGATACTAACTTTCCAAGAATATATGCTACTTAACAAATATATTGTTTAGGCTAGTGGTTATTTCAATTACTAAATTCTTTCTTTTTAAAGAAAGAATTTTGTTTTTCTTTTTTCACAACTTGGATGGAGTTTCACAGGCAGCCTTCTCGTACAGACCGAGGGATGGGAGCTGGTGCACACAGAGGTACCTGTGTATGAAGAAAAAGTACATTACGTTTGTGTAAATGACTGGACATGACTAATAAAAACAACTGTTCACTGCTGCTTTCTCACAGCTTTTTGATGACAGCATGTAAAAAAAAATCTTCGTTTAAGAGGAGATCTCTTGTGTCTTGCTTAAAGGTGCAGGACTCAAGACTTGCCAGCCCCTTACAATACACTCTCCTACAGCTCATTCCTGGTGTACAATCTTTGATTTAGTGAACCAAATCATTAAACTTCTTACACAAATCACTGCACACCCCAAGTGATTAGGTGGTGCTCACAGAGGACATCCCAACTCATCACCCAAAGCCAGGAAGCGCTTTAGGATGTAAATTCCAGCCATTGGGGAGCATCAGGAGAGGCTTCTGAGTCAGATCATATGACTACACTAGTATGGAAAGTGACTGATTCTTCTCCAAAAAAAAGTCTTCCTCCAAAAGTCCAGATGGTTCTTGCTGATGGCTGTGGATTTCCACTCACCTTTCCACACACCCTTTCCTTGGAGATGATCATTCTGCCATTCAAGTCACTTCTAGGGAAGGAGAAATGTTGTTTTCACACCTGGCTCATGAACTAACCATCATAACAAGTGAAAAAAGCCCAGCAGTATCTACCAAGCAGGCCCTTTTCCTGTCGAGGGTGAACTGACACACATCCAGTGCCAGTTTAAAATACAACAGATCTTTGTAACAAGCACTTTCATGCAGAAGTACTCAACTGTTCTGCACCCATTTGATCTACTTAGGTGATTTTATTAGTTTAAAAAAACCCCTCCTTAAGTAGTGTCTTGTCCATGACCATAATAAAGCAAATGAACAGAAGTCAGGTCCATGGTTTCATATCAGGATACAGAACAAATGTCACAAAACAGCAGGGGGGAAAAAAGGAAAATCAATTTTTTTCATGACTGGTTTTTGATGCTTCAGAACTGCTGGGAAAAACCTAGCAACTTTTTTTCCTCAAAGCAAAGTCAAAAACTTGGTTATTGCTTTGAGGCTTTGTGGTGAACAAGCAACTCTTGGACTTCATCTCAAGGAAAAGGAGTGTGAGGGTCTGTGTGGCTTAAGCTATTCCCAAGGAGGGGATGAAAAAAAGAAAAAAAAAAAATTCTAGATTTGGAAAGCTTGAGAACCTGAGTGGAAAAAAGATGAGCCAAGTTTTGCCAGAGATGCCATTAGGAGGAAGACTGGAAATTTAAACCTTGCATGATGCATGAGATTGGCTCAGGTCCAGTGACTCAATGTTCATAGACAAAAGCCTTTTTGATTCTTGCTGCAGTAATGGTTATCCAAGACTTTTTTCTTTCTGGCCTGAATATCACAGAGCGAATTCCAGAATCTGGGAGAAGCTTCACTAGAGCAGGTTCAGTGCAGTTCAGAAGAAGGATGGCACGGTGTGTCTGAGCAGATCAGGGTGAGCTGTGAGGCTGCTGCAATGGGAAGAAATGGGCTCCAGCATCCAGCATTCCAGGACAGGGCTGCTCAGGAGCCCGTCTTTGCTGACAGCAGGCACAGTCAGGAGCACTTGCAGAGGAAACAATTCAAAATGTTGCCTACTTGGTGCTGGTGAGCAAAATAAACAAAATAGTGGGTAATATACTTGAAGATAACCTGCTTGCCCCCAGCTTTACTCAAGGTTACCACTGGACATCACAGCTTGGAGAACTGATTAAAGGAGCGATCACAATTATCAATATAATCATACATGCAATAGAATAAAAAAGCCTGAGGATTTCTCCTCTTTCCAGGGAATAATTCAGCTAGGAATCAAAAGTTCATGCACTTATACAAGAGCAATAAAAAAAATTAAATATTTATTTTGAATAACAAGCTTAAGTTCAAGCTGCGATGTTGGCAATGTTGGTTTTAAACACAGATCACAAAAGCGTGCAGAAAAATGTATTTGAGCAAAGAACAAAATAATACTAAGAATTATACTAAACAGCTTCTGATTTTTAAAGAAACAAAAAAGGCTTGTAATCACTATACAAAATATAAAATGTATTAAACACTACCATCCACAGAACAGAGGTTTATTTTAGTTTGATTATATTTAAAAATTATTTGTGTAGTTATTTATATAGTGAATTGTAAATGAATATTATACAGTAACTTCCTTTTGGTCTGAAAAACCTTTGTTGCACTATAGCACATCCAATCACGTTGCAAAAGGAAAAAAAAAAAAAAAAGAATTATTTGTCCTTACTATCAATAAAGAAAACAATCATTGATAATACAGTAAATATTGTCAGGTCTACAAATAATGAAATTTGAAATTACTCCTTCGACTCTGAAGCGCTTTCCATGCAAAAAGTCAGCACTTGCTGTTTAAACTGAGTGCACTACCAAGCAAAGTCCAGGGTCGTAGATGCTCTTGGTAAGACTAAACCTTACAAAAAAAAAAAAAAAAATTAAAAAATAAAATAAATCAAAGATTGAATGCAATCATGCAACCATCTTACTACTGGGTAACCCACTGTGTCACTTGTCAATTTATTGCCTTTCTGGAATATCACTCAAGGCATCAAAATTAGACTCATGATAAATATACACATAATGAAAGGACACGAACTGCTATTTGACACTACTACTGGTAATGTCTGTGCTACGTGAAAGCACCTTTAAAAAGAGCCTATGCGGCAAGAGATAAGTGTCTAAAGATTCAAAATGAATCAACAGTATTGGATAACAATATAATTCTCAACTCAGAAGCTGCCTCAAGATTAGGTGCATCTTCAGTTAATGTAACAGGAAAAAAAGGCAATGGATTTCATTTTATTATTTGTATCCACTCATAAACTGACCTAAGGCCACCAGATGTGCAGACACAACAAGTTTTCTTTTTTTTTTTTACAGTTCTTTAAATTGTAGGATGATAAAGGAATAGATCTATTCAAAAAACAAACAGCTATTTGATCTCTATTAAGAGGTGGCACCGGGCGTGGGGTTCACGTTCTGAGTGGCCACCTGTGGTGCCACCTCAATGATCCGTGGCTTGTCTATAATCCTGGCCGTGCGGTTGCCCTTCTCCACGATCCCGATAATCCACGCCTGGTGCCCTTCGCCGTATTTCGGAGACTTGATCTCGGCGCAGAATCGTGCTGCCTGCTCCCGTGGTAAGCAGATGAGGAGGCCTCCTGGGAAGAGAGAGAGCAGAGCATCAGACATCTGTTTGCAAAGCACTTCAAACCCGCATCTGCCAAAGCCCTACTCGGACAAGCACTTGGTGACTTCAGTGGATTCTAATGAAATCCAGCGATTCCAAGGGAAGACACCATGGAAGTCCAAGCTCTTGCTTTGCAGCAAGAGGTTTGTGCCTGAATTCAGTGTTTAGTTTCATGTAAATGAAGCCAAATACACACAAAAGATGCTGGCAAAAGGACGTGGTACTGATGCCAACAAATGACATACTGAAACAACCCCAGCATTGTAACCTTCCACAGAGGACTGCAACGTGCCTTTACACAGAAACATTTTGGGTAAAGGTCATGTGCAGATACCTGTAACCACATATTGGTGGCAGCTGATTCTGTGAGTAATCCCATGGCCCGCAGTGAAATCATTCATCAAAGCAGGGACCACTGCCCTGCTGAGAATGCAAGAGGCAGAACATTAAACACAGGCTTGATCCAGTGCTCCCTGTGACAGTCCTTGTGACCCCTTTGTTTGAGAAATTTTTTAGCCTTCCATTTAAGTTTTTTTTTCCTCAGACACAAGTGAAAATATTTTATTTACTCAAAATGCTTTCAGAAGCAGCACAGTTAACTAGGTAGCAAGCTCACCATTCCACGATTAAACCTCAGAGCACTTCCATTCTAAGAATCCCAAAGCACTGAAAAAGGAGCTTAGCAAGTGAATTGAAAATATTTGGACAACACAGGCAAGAGAGTAGATTCACACAAACAGAAATTTGGGCACATGCTGAGGCTCACTTACTCCTAAAGAGTAATTTGACCCTCACAAGTTATGCCACCAACTCTGGCCAACCCTGGGGCAAAGGGCCACCTGCTGAGCCGGGCTCAGTGCCACCTCCTGCTCCACAGCCCCCAGACAGGCCTTTGGCACCTTGGGCACCTTTATGTTTGACCTTAGCCACCTCTATGTTTGCTTTTCCAAGCACACAGTCAGTCCTCTCAGTGGTGACTAAAGATATTTTTAATTTGAGGCCATGACAAAGAAGCAGCTACTGAACGTGAGGAATTAATGATAAGGATAAATGGAAGAGCAAAAGCAATTTTTTCAATTCTACATGAAGAAAACAAGTGTGCCAGCCAGAAAATGCCCACCTATCTGACATTTCAAAAATAACATCCAGGTACTTCCATCAAACCCAACAACAAAAAAAAAAAACCCATAAGCTTGAATGACAGCGCTTAAAACTACTCTGGATATAACAGACAAATCAATTGCAAAGGAATTATGTGACATTCTCATGGAAGGCTCTAAATCAAATTGAAGAGAAACTTACATTGTGATGCAAGTCAGGGAAGAGGTTTACAAGAGTGCAGAGAATGTACTAACCAGCCAGAAGGGAGGTGTACAAGTATGGCAAAAAAGGAAATGAGAAAGAGCACAAAAGTAATCTTCACTCAATTATCTTTTCAACACACACTCTGTTTCTGGAATTTAGTATCACTGGTACCTGTAGTCCATTATCATTCTTTGGCAAGATCAAACACAAGTACAAAATCCCAGTTTCCAGTGAAAAAAATCGCTTCCCACCTGCTGGCTGCTTCCCACAGTTTAATCAATAACCCTTAATAAATGCTATGGGCTACTGTCAGCCAGCAGTAGGTTTCCTCTATGCAGGGATTATATTTATTTCTCTGCTAGACTGACCAGTATCATTAAGCCTTGGGTAAGTCCTTAAGGTTCCCTACTATTTATTCTAGTCCAGTTTGTTATTGGTATTCCCAGCTGCTCTGGTTTTGGGAAGTTGAAAGGATGCAGACACTTGGTATCTGTCCTGGCTTATCTTTTTAAAAAATAAAAGGCTTTTTTTTTTGGTAAGAGGTTTTGAACAGTGCTTGTTTTAAGAGTATTGCAAGCAGAGAAGTGGACATAGAACACTTCAAAAGCAGGCTAGACAAAGCTTTGCAATTAAGAGCAGAGATACAAACAGTTCATGAATCAAAACCAAGTGTCCTTTCCCCTGCTAATGGCTTTCTCCCACAATGACTTGGATGAGATCATTAGCCCTGCCTCTAATCAGGCACTGACACAGCCCTTCTTTTCTACCCATCTGCCAATTTCCACCAAATGTGCACAAACACCAAGATGCTGAGATACCTCTACTACAGCTAAAAAAGTCATCTGACACCAGCCAGCAGCTTCAAAAGTTATTAGAAGAGGATGGCAAAAATACACACATGCATAAGCGTCTGATACAGAGTAACTCTGTGACTTATCTCTGCAAGCAGCCACTCTAACAGAGTTAATTCTTTGGAAACCAACTGCCTGACTGCAACTTTAACCACCAGCAAAGAATTACCTAATAGAAAGCACAAAATCATGTAAAGTGCAATTTTAAGAAAATACACCATAAGCAAGAGTGCCTGGAAGATGGAAGAGATGATGTAACAGATCTTTTCAACGCTGACTTTTGTCAACAGGTGGCCAGCAAATGCACACGGGGAAAAAAATCCCATAATAACCTTAAAATCCATTCAAATAGTTTTCCAGTAAATTTCTCATTGCCTGCCCAGTCTGCTGAAAAACATCTGTTCACAGATGAAGAAGCGACAGACAGAGCGTGTCTGGAAGTTTAAGCCAACAGAGAAGGAGAGTGTCTGTATTACAGTATGAACAGCCCTGAGCAGCCCCCAACAGGCTTCCTCACAGCTGGGTATCAGGCACAGGGAGGCAGAGCCATGCCTTCACAGTAAATCAACTCCAGGACTCGAGGTGTGCAGACAGCCTGGGTCTGAAGGAGCCATCCTAGCACAGCCTGCCCGAGCTCACACACTGCTGAGACACGTCAGGCTGTGCAGTGCAAGCCCAAAGCCTGTGTGGCTGTGGTTACACAGCTTTCAGGGCAGGGCTGGTGTGTCCACGTGGCTACAGATCTTTTGAATATCTGGCAGACACTGCCCTCTCACAAATCCCTGTGGCCACCTCTAATGTGAGAAACCCAGTGCTGTGATGAAATCAAACAGACAAGCTCTGAGGCACCCACAGCTCACAGCCAGCCAGATAAGTCTCGCTGGTTTTTCCATCATCATCCATCTCTGCCAAACACAGGCTGCTCAGCATTTCAAAGACAGTTCTTGCTCTCAAGTCCCAAAAGAGATTCTGAAGTCAAGTGTTTCCCACTTCCCAGCAGTGCATCCATCTGCACTGCTTCACATTCCCTCAGTGAAAAGGCAGAATTGGGTATCCCCAGGGAGCAGTATGGGCAGCTCCGAAGACTTTGCAGCTAAACCATTCCCACACCAACTGCTATTCAAACCTCTGCTATAGCCACTCACCCGAAAGAGCACCTTGCAGTTCCAGCTCTGTGTCCCAGCTACTTTTTGGACCCTTTCCAACTGATAACAAATGCTACCAGCACTCTGGCTAGGTGGGCTCTGGGTAGTGAGGATGTGTCTGGTGCTACCAACCTTATTGACACATCTTGCCAAGCTGCCACCAGGTATTTCTGGTCCCTTCTTACTGATGCTGGATTCTTGAACTCTTCAAAGGCTTTACATCCCTTATCCTATTACACATCATCTGAGCCACACAGTCTCTGTAGGACAGAGTGTCTGCTCAAACACAGATGGCCAAGGGACAACTCAGATTGGGGTAAGTTGTGTATTCACCAGGGGAAAAGTTTATGGGTCTCACTGTGATGCTTCTTTCCAGATCTTTGGACTGTTTAGCTTCAAGGGGTCCCCTCTGTTGTGAACTGCAGAGAACTTGGATAATACTTTTGGAGAGCCAGAAGAGGGTGGAGAAATGAGGTAAGAGGAAAAAGACAGATTTGGTGCTACATCTTCTCCATTTCCCAAAGAGAAACAGAAGTCAGATTAAATTAGAAAAAACAGAACAGGACAGAAGATTCAAGGGGAAAGTGAAGTAGAAAGACTTCTAGCAGAGGACAGTGATTGTGCTCATCAGAGAAGTGGCCTACTCTTACAAAGCAACTTAACAACTCTGTAAATGTTTATCCACAGCCAGATCCTCTGTACAGTCTGTTGTATTCACTGTCACTGCAAGTGGCAGCTTTATTAAGCAGACAACTCAAGTAATGAAAGGGTTAGAGAGCAATTTTTTTTTTCTGCTAGTCATAGTCCCTTATAGCCCAATTTCATAAAAGTAAGGGAGAAAATCTATGTTCTTGGATGTCTGTATGCTGGGGACAGATAAGGCCTCACTCACAAAGACTGGCCCATTCATCACTCAGCTTCACAGATTTTCATAGTAACAAACCTAAAACCATCACAAACTTCTAACTGCAAACCCAGGGTTTCTACAACAGTGTTCCATATGGAAGTAGAAGGCATTCAGAACAGGATGGTGGTTTGGAAGTCAGGCTGAAGAAGTCAGTTGGGAAGAGCTGTGTGGCTGATGCTCATTAGCCTGGCTACCTGCCAAGCCTGCTGAATGCACAAGGCACACGATTTGTACATTTGATATTAAATTCTAAGGTGGGGGTGCAGGGAAGGAAGAGGGTGGCACAACTGTCACCTACCTGAAGTCTCTGGACAGGTCCCGTGCATGAGGCCAAACATGTTTCCACAAGCCTTGCTGACAGCAGCCATCTTGGCAAGAACGGGAAGGTTATGGATCACAAAGGACACCTCGTTTCGCTGCTGCTTGGCAAGGTTCTGTGCATGCCCCAGGATCCCAAATCCTGTGATGTCTGTAGCTGCATGTGCATTGAAAGTGTGCATGAGTCCAGCAGCTACAATAGAGGGAGGGGGGAAAAAAAAATACCAAATCAGAAAAAAAACCAAATTATGAGGAAAAGCAATGCTTCAGCAATATTGTTAACAGTCTGAATGAAGTTGAATACCTTTAATCCAAATCGGGTTGGGTTAAATTAATAAAATAAATAAGATCATGCTTGAAGAGAACTGGAATTCACCAATACTGCATGTAACACTTAAAAAAAAAATCAACTTGTATTTAAGATATTAAATCATGCTGAAAATCTGTCATCAAAGCTGCATTTATGGGCATGCTCTATTAGACATGTGCTACTAATTTATACTGGCAGTCTGAGAAACAGGCGTTTGCTTCAGATTCAAATCTAGCTGAGGGCCAGAGAGGTCCTGAGCTCAACTTTGCTTTACTAAGGGCAAGGACCAGACACAGGTCAGTCTTCTCACATCTCTTCCTCTACCACTTGAGAACTGGTGACATCAGAACTTAATTGCTGGACACTCAAAGTTTAAGAGCTTAAGAACAAAGCCTGCAGGCTGAAGGGGAAGGGACCCAGCCTCCCCACCTATGCATTCATGAAATTCCTGCACATTTGGAACTCCTGGATGGGAAAAAGGGCACCTCAGCATGCAGGTTAATAGCCCAGTTAAGAATATTTAAGTGTTGTTAAAGGTGCCTGATGAGAGAGTGGAAAAAAAACAAAACCGAGAATGCTTTGCCCTTCTCTGATACTTCCCAATACACCAGCAGGACTGAATTTTTTTCCATAAGGCAATCCCTGGCCATTTATTTTTCCTGGAAGGTTTTGTGACATAACAAAAAAAAAAAAACAAACCAGTGGGATGACATAAGAAATGAAAGCTGAATGGAAAAAGAGATATTTAACTATCCCTGTTTCTTCAAGTGAGAAGTAAGAAAACACATAATTCAATTCTCTACTCTGTCAAAGATACTTTGAACAAATAAGGGAAATCCTGAAATAAAATTTCTAGCGTAAGAGCAGAACCTTCCCTCGACCAAAATTAAGAAGAAAAAATGCAAACCAACACACAAAAACAGGAAAAAGACAAATGAACAAAAAAGAGACCGTGTGTTACACATTCCACACTTTGGGAAGCGCAGAACATGACTGTGAATTAAAAAAAACCCAAAATTTAAATTGAAGCTTACATAACATAAGAGCTTTTCCTTTCTTATTCTATTTCAAATTCTTTTAACCTTATCAGTGTCAGGCCTTCTCTATGCACAGAAGATAAGGAACAAATCCAATATATGTCCCTTTAAAGCATCCTCTAACTCTCTGGGATGTTACTCACACGAGTCATAATCGCATCCAGCAGCTTTGTGGTTTTGCTGTGTAATTAAAAGAGGGCATTTGATTTAAATTTGCTTATTTCACCAACACTGATCAAGCAAAAAGATGGGGCAGAAGGATAAAGCGGTTGTGTCACACTTCCCCATGGCACTGAAATGAAATTTGGTATGGAACTGGAAAAACCCACAACCCCCTTCCCCTTCTTACCTGTTCTGTTCAGCCGTGCCATGTTCATCATTGCCTCCTGGTATGCGAGTTCTACATCCTCTTGCGTTACCACAAGCTTGATTTTATTCCACTTTTCAGGCTATTGGATGAAATAAAGATGATTCTTTTAGATTTTCAGCTTTATATTTTAAAGCATACCCTTACCCTTTTTTTTTAAAAAAAAAAATCCCTAATCAAAAATGTACTTTTTAAAAAACTCAGTTAAAGTGAGGCAAAAGGGTCGACAGTCAGAGGTGTGTGCCTTACTCTGCTGTACCCAAGATCTATTAGGCACCTCAAATCCTGCTGTCAGCAGCTTAGTGGAGTGGAATAAACTACCCCAGGGCAAAAACTCCTTCAAGGCAACTCTCTGGATTGAATCCCCACAGGCGAATAAACAGAACTTGGTTGCTGGAAGTTGAGATTTGTAATCTCTGGTTTCTTCTTTTTTTAAGAGAAAAAATTCTTGATTTCACACCTGAACACCTTGATCAGGAAACACCACTGATATTCACCAGTCCAAGTCAGAGGAATGTATGCTAAGGTAGGATATTATCACTCTGGTTTAGGATTAAGGCAGTTTCATTAGTCTGCTTTACAGTTTAATATCAGCATCCCCTTCCACCCATTCTCCAGTGTCTTGTATGCACTCATTTCTTCATCACATTCCAAGTAATGCTTTTCATCCCAGAAGGGTTTCAGAACAATTTAGCAAGTGGTACCTTTATAAAGAGCAGTTGCTTCATTCCAAGCTGAAGTGATTCCAGATCCAGAATGAAACAAAGCAACTATTTAACTGTTAAGAGCAACATTACAAACTAATTTAACTTTTTTTTTAAATGAAAAAAAAATTACAGAAAGCTGAAAGTAAACAAACATAGGATTTTCTGAAGCCACAATGCCTACACTGCCATTCCATAGAGTAAATGCACAGAACAAACCTCTTACTAAACCAAAGGTGCAAAAAGTACTAAGAATCAATACATGATGCTGCACTGGTGGAGGATCTTGTCTTAACAAATGGACACTGACTTCAAGGGGTGTAAGAGAGAATCCAGAAATGGCAAAATGGGGAAAGACTGGTCAGCTGAAATAAGTAAATTTGGAAAGAGCAAGGAATGATGGCAGTGGGATCAGAGTTTCTGAACTTAGGTTGAACTGGATCTACCAATTAATTAAGAAAAGCATTTTTGCTTACATAAATCAGAGACCTTGTCAAAAAATAAAATGGGTCTGTTACAGAGATGACAGAACAGTGATTATTCTTACTCTGGGTATGACTGAAAATCTTGAGCAATCACTCTGCTTTAGTTTTCAAAAAACGAAGTTCTGAGGCTGATCATGGGATGGAAACCAGTCAGATGATGGGAATGGAAATCAGGAACTATGGGGAAGCAGAACTCAAGGCTGAGGCTGTAAGAGCCACAAACACAGGTAGCTTACAAAGAGGCAAATCAAATACCGGGGTTAGTCAACAGGGAACAAAGGCAGAAAAGTTCACAAAAACTCCCAAACAAGTTTTAAAAACAAGCTTAGATTTCCATATTGAAGGGTCTGTAGGCAACACCAAGGCCAGAAAACCCTCTCTGAAGGGGCACATCAGAGCAACTGCTTTCATGCATTTAAAAGAGAAAAAGCAAAGGATTGCAGTTCCCAGCTGTGGACCAGCCTGGCTGCCAGAGCCACAGCCAATGGCTCCATCACCCCTGGCACATCCCTGACCTGATCCTGGGGCCCATGGAGCCCAGCTCCCTGCAGGCTCTGCAGTCTCTTCCCAGAAACACAGCTGGGACTGGCTGCAGCAGTGCTGGCAGCAACCAAGCAAGAAAGACAAATTTCACCTTCATTTGGATCTTCCTTTCACTTGTCACCAGGAACTTGCTCACTTCTGCCCTGTTTAAATACCTCAGTTTTTAGGTTGTTGGGCTTTTTTAAAATTTATATTTCAGCCACATATCTCTACATTCCACTTTTCCTTTCTTCCTTATGCATAAACCTGATGTACTATAGCTTCTCCCACACACTTTTTCATACAAAGTCCAATTCCCTACCAAAATTTCATTTACAGATGGATTTGTGATGGGTAATTCTAGTTTCCCTTTCCCTACTTTCTCATAAAACAAATCTAAAGAAAAGGCAGCACAGCTGCTCAGAAATTTTCCTAACACAACTGAAGTTATATTCTGTTTACACATAATAGGAGGATTGATTTCCTTGCTGTCCTTGTTTTTCAGACTGAAAGTGTTTCTGTTTGACAGTCAAGGAAATTAGTAGTATTTGAAATATGTGGAAATTCAGAATATCCTTAATATGCAAGTCTGCTCATCAGTACAATAACAAATAAGTTAAGAAGTAAGATTATGGCCAGAAAACATACTATAAAACTGGTGTCTTGTTTCACTCCATTTTCATATCAAGATTATCTGAGGCCCTGATCCTTATAGCTGTTTGGAAAAAACTCAGGATTCTGAAGAGGTCAGAACTAGGCCAGATCCTGTACAGAAGGAGAAAAATATTTTTCTCTTGTTGCTCACGCTTCAGACTCCAACGAAGGTTTAAGCTGGTTCTCTCCCACTTTTCTAACACTAGCTGAGTAATTAGAATTCATCTGACAATGCAGTGGCCAACAGCCAAACCAAAGTAGATTCCAGCTCACTCCTCTGCCAGTCTATTGGCTCAGTAGTCCCAAAAGTAGAAAAGATGCATCTTTTTGAAGTGTAAACTGAGCAGTTATAATTTTGAAGACACATAGTGGGAGCCAGACAACATAAGCAGATGCCAATTTTGCAATCACTTTTCAGTTCAGTAGTTATATTTTTGCTTGAAGAAACAGATGGAAGTATATCTACATACATAATGCTGCTAGAAATATTCTTATTGAATGCACAGGGCAATACATGTGAAACATAGATATATTTCCATGTACACAAGCAGAAAGCCCAAGAGCACAGACAGCACTCTTGGCCTAATTGCCATCAATAAGTGTTGCCAATTACTTTGGCAGGTGGAGTAGGGAATAATTTTACCCAGGGTGCTAGTCTGTTGTTCCGTTAGTAAACAATTTTATTACAGCAATGCCTGAGAAATAACTAAGAATTAGGTGCAATTAAGAAGGGCTCACTAAGCACAAAATATTAAACTGCCTTGATTCTGATAGTTTTGCATGTAAGCAGGGAAAGCTGAGACACCAAGGAGGAAGGAGGAGAGGTGATAGATCACTCCCACATAAGCTGAACTTTGTCATTTTGAAGGAATAAGGGAGGTCACCTTTAACTCACAACTCTCTTCCCTGTTTCTTTTTTTGTAGTGTACTCACAATATCTAGCCACTGGTGCACAGCTACAGCCACTTGTGTTCCCAAGGGTTTAGTTAATACAAGCACATCTCCTGGCACTGCATTGTCTGGCCTGAAAACAAAGAATTCATACATTAATTACATAGCAAGATTCGCAAACGTCATTAGGAACAAGTGCTGATAATTACGTTTTCACAGACCCATGTATCTTGTTGCACAGTTAAAAAACTGACTAATTGCAGAATTACCCTTGGGGATTCACTGCCATGCAATATTATTGAGCAAAGTGCTGCAAACTTATTTAAAAGTGCTAATCCTTCTTTCTCAGAATAGAACAATGCTTGCAGTCAGACATACACCAAATTACATCTTTGCTGTCGATTTACTGGAGACATAAATGAGGATAGGGGGAAAAACTGACCTTTGTTACCCAGGGCGTAAGATACCCAATACTAGGATCATGAACAAACTCATTTGTATAGTATAACATGCCACAGAGGGACACTGAAGGTCAGCTTCTGTTAAATGGACAGAGTGCTGTAAATACGAGAATTCTGTAGTTTTCTACAGCCATTAACAGGATAATTGGGAGATGGCTTAGAAACTTATGTATAAATGTGACAGAAATTTATGTTCAAAACAGTCTCCAATATCTTTGAAAATTAGAAGCTTAAGTCTCCTGTCAAAAGGAGAATAGGATCAAAAGGTACTGGGGGTTGGGGAGAAGTAAGAGGACATCCTATCTAAAAAAAGCAAATAGGACAAAAGAGTTGTGGCACCTGTTGAGTGCTGAGGACAAATGCAAGCAGGAGAAGGCACTGCTTTATTCATCAGAGACACACCACAACATCACAACACAGTGCTTACAGGGTTTTCACTGTACCCCTTCATACCAGTGCCTTTGGTTGTTTAGTGATTAACTTACATTATAAATTCATTAGGCTGACAGACTGTCGTGGCCACTCCTCCTAGAACAATCCAGGGATTTAACACGGTTTGCCCACCAGTAACAGATGTTCCTGCCTCTTCTGCTGCATCTTTGAAACCCTGGATAATTAGAGGCATCACTTTGTCTCTTTCCTAGAGATCAAAACAGAAGTCAGAGTTCCATACAACAGCAGTGCTCGTCATTTCAAGACTCGTGCAGGGCTTTAATCACTCAAGCCAAATGCCCTCATGGCAAACAGTTCAAGACAGACAAGCTAGCCTTAGGAAGAGTCTGGCCTCCTGAAACCTGCATGTTATCCCATACAGTTATGGTTTTACAGCTCCACGTGAAAGAGGTGGAAAGACACTTAACACTGAGGAAACATTCTTCAAAAGGTCATGTAAAAGTAACCAGACTTCTGGGAACTCAGGACAAAGTATCCATCTGCTCTAATCAGGCACAGCCATAGCAGCCCGGTGCAATAAGGCCAAGTTAAATCAAGATACATTTGGCCTCCACTAACCAGCAAAGTTTCAACTTACATCCTTCTAAGAATAAACATCCTTTTTTTTGCTACAGCAAAACAAACATACATGCTGGTCACTTCCACTAAAAAACAAAAATCAAAAAACCCAACCAACAAACAAACAAAACAACAACAACAACAAAAAAAATAAAAAAAAAAATAAAAAGAAAGCAAAACCAACCAAGGATTATCTATGAATTGGCAATCAAATGCTGGCCTTGGAGCAGTATTGTCCTGAAGTGACAGAAGGAGGGACTTCATTTTGGTGGGGATGAAGGCAGCAGATTACAATGCCACAGGAAACTGAACTTTTAGCACCTGACCTCAGAATGTTCATGAGGCAAGAGCCATACTATGAACTGAGCTATTCAACAAAACCATCTCTTCTTTAAAAGGGTTCAAACTTTGGGGAGAGAATACACTGAAGGTAAATACGTTCTAAGCACACTTAGCTGTTCAGGTCTTCCATCAAAAGAAAGTATCAAAAATCTTACCCTATCTGTCATTTTATTGCTGATTCCAAGGAGCATCAACATGTTGTCACATTCTGTGACCCCCATGGCATAAAGGTCACTTAGGACGTTGGCACACGCTATCCGGCCCTGAAAGAGAAAGAAAGACAAAAAAAAAAATCTGCAGGACTGTAGGTGAATGTTTAAACACCTGCCAGGAACAAAGCTTCCAGAATGGGTTTGCACTCTGACACAGCTGCTTATTCCACAGGCTCCAGCATTAAGAAACCCAGCCATAGATGTAGGATGATCCATTTCGTGCTACATGTCTATCTAAAAGTCCAGGATCTGCTCCTTTTACAGGAACAGGGAGAATTCATCCCAGCTGTCTTTCTCAGCATTCTCTCTTACTGACTGTGTAGGAATCCCAGAGTTCAGACTGCATGTCCAGTCTGAGAGGCTGAAGTTAAGCTCGACAGTCTGTCTTTGCTAACAAGCTCAATTTACTTCATCTGATACATTCCTGTTAACTTTATTCCAGCACAAAACTGTACATCCAGATGAAGATGATCATAGCATGGAATTCACAACTGATAGGAAGCCAATCCAAAATGCTGTATTGCTGTACCTCTTCTGCATCAGAATGCACAGGAGACAGGGACCTTGATGAGAAAGCTGTTTGTCCTCTGCACTACCCTGAAGGCCATGTCTACACTCTTCAGTTTCTAGGAGAGTACTTCTCTTCCCGGAGGATACAGCCAAGAAGTCAGGAAGCTGACAGCACTGAGAAGCCATCACTTGTGTCACATGAAATTAGCTACTCTAATTTTACTAAATTAATGGTTCTGAGTCAGAGTTTCTGGGGTATGGACCCAGCACAGATGAGACATCCAGTTTCCTGATGAAGATGCAGAACTTCCTGACACAGGATGTGCCCCAGGGGACAGCAAGATATTTCAAAATACAGGACAAATCCCGTTGTGTTACCCTGGAAAACTCCATGCATTCTATGAAAATCGTTTTAGGTTTACAGCTGCAGAATGGTAACCAATATCCATTTTTATGATTTTAAATCGGGTTCACAGGCAACACCACCACAATAAAAAACAACAGCATGCTTATTTGACAAAATTTGGACAACTCACAAAAAAGTAATATTTTCAGGCAGTTACCTCACTTGCTGATGACACAAAATAACATGCCCAAATCACAATTAAATATAATCCAGTTTTTCATACGATCAAGACCTTCCAGTAGCACCAGGGGAATCTTTTACATTTGGAACTGGAATATGGATTAATCACTTAAATCTTAAACTATTAAGAAAAGAGTGAGCTGGGTATTGCATGGTTTGATGGATACTGGCTGTTAAATTTCTAGATGCCTACTATTCCCCTTCTCTGGAAGAGAACTAAAACCATTCTGTGTTATCTTCAGTATTTACCAAGCAAGCTGCTGGTTTATGCCCTGTTAGGAACCAAGAGATAAGTTTTTAAAACAACAATGACAACAGCTCTGATAGTCAGAGGTCAGTCTAACAACCCTTTTGCCAACTGCCAAAACCACTATGGAAACAAATTCAGTACAAGTCTCAAGTCTGAAGCAGCAGAGAGAACAATACACAGCTTGTGAACACTGACAAACACCACAGGACTCACAAACAGGGGTCAGTCCTGCAGGCTACTCGCCTGCTTGCTCGGGTATTTGTGTTTCAGGGGGACTATGTGCAGTACTAAGAACTATTTATAAGGGCAAAGGATGAAGAATCAGACACCCATCTCCAGTCCTAAGTGAAGGTTCTTCTTAAAAGAGCAACAAAAAGGTTCCTGGAATGGAAGGGGAAGGGCATGCTTTCTCAAACTATACAGTTCTCTGCTCCTGTATTCAAACAGGTGTCTCCACAGTGCCACAGCAGAAGCCAGAACCAATCCTATTCCCAGTGGATTGATACTTATTATGAAACCTATTTTCAATTGCTTGTAACTTTTCTAATAAACCATTTAAGCTGAATAAATCCTCTCCTCGATATGGATTTTACAGGTGTACGTCCTAGGGATAATTCTGCACATGGATTGAGTGTTTTCAAAGACAAATAGAAAGAGAAAGGGGAAAAAGAAGGAAGAATGATTTTGCGTATAACTGCAGAACTTAGTTTTAAAATAGGCAGTGACAGAGTGAGAGAAATCTGTTTTCTGAAGCAGAAATCGGAAGTTCAGCTGAGTCCACACACAGTTTTGCTTCCCTCAGCTGTTTACTAATCCCTTCTGTCACAGCACCCAGCTTAGAGTTCATCTGCACTTCTGGATTTCCCTCTTTGCTCCCTCTCCTTCAACTAGGAAGAGAGATCAGACAAGGAGCTGCAGGTAAACCCTGTGCACAGAGAAAGGAAGAGGCTCTAAAACAGGGAATACCTGCTCAAAACCAGACTAGAACTGACCTGGTAAGGAGACTGAGGGGAAGGGCAAGGAAAGTGTGGACTGCACATGAGTGATAATGGTCACAGAGTAGTAACAACAGGCATGGGTCAGGGGACATCCAGACTTAAATGAGGGAAAGAAGCAGTTGGAGAAGCAGGTCAGCAGCAGCCTGTCTTGAACAGAGGAGTCCACAGCACACTCCTTTATACAGCCTGGACACAAACTCAAACTTCCCAGATCTCACCATTCCTCTGTTTGTAACAACCATCCATAAACCCTGTGGCTGGTTGTATTTGACTGTCCTCTAACCAATGCTGGTCCACACAAGAAAACATATATACTGCCCCTTGAGGTACTCTAGCCCTCAAGAGAGAGAGGTCTGAGTAGAGGGTCCAGCAGCATTAATCCTGCTGGATCATCACTGCCAGTACCAGCAAGAAGGCTTGTGACAGAATCCCTGTTCTCAGTGAGCTTTTAGGAAGAAATACACATCTGTAAACAGATTAGGAAGTGGCCAGTCACCAGATTAAAATGAATGCCTTCAGGAATGAAAAGTGAAGGACTTGAGAGTTAGACAGCACCAAAGTTACAGCTGCTGCTGCATGTGGATCACAGCATAGACTGTGACTATGATGCAAACACTGAAGCTGGCCTAAGGCCAAATTTACATTTCACTCCAACCACACAGGCCTAAACCTTATCTGGGCACAGGCTCATCTATCTACTCCTGCGGCATCTCAAACCCTTTGTATCTCCAAGCAAAGCAACCCTCCCCCTTCACCACAGCCTCTACCACTGTCCCTCGTGAGTTTTTGTTACAAGGTGAGAAAAAAAAAAGCTTCTCAGATGATGAACTTGAACACAGATCTCCAACATTTTTTTTCCCCCTCTGGTCCCTGACGAGTTGCCATATGATATTAAGGCAACCCACTTGAATCAAATTTCTCAGGAGAGCTCAACTGCCCAATACTCCAGAGGCCAGCCTGAGATTTTGGCTGCTCAGTTTGCAAAGAGCTCTTCTGGAACAGAAATCAAAGGAGCTACGCTTGCATATGTGCACACCACCTGGTCAAGCATGCTAAAAAAAGAAAAAAGTTGGTCCCAATCTCAACCTGCGTGTCCAAAACCTACCAGACAGGTCTCACAGAGCAAACAACAAACCCACAGCAGCAAATAAAGCATGCAGGCACCCCAACAGCAGTAAAAACATACAAAGGAGTCACATCCAAATCACAGGAACCATGAATTCTAGCACTTCTTAACTTTCATTTAACATTTCCTTACAGCTTTATTAAGTCTTTTTTTTTTAAAATTAATTTGTTTCTCTGTGATCTTCTCTTCAAGTCAATACTGATCACTGCCACACATACCTCCCCACAGCAATCTCTACTGGGACAGACTGAATGAAATAGGGACACAGAAGCAACTGAAGCCAAAGTGCACCCAACTTGCAACAAGTCATTTCAATGTACCCATGTTCAAGTGGGGGTAGTACAACAGGAAGGCTGGTGTTCAAAGGCACTCTGAAGTTGCCAGGTGCTATTGGCAGCTACAGATATTTAGGTATTTCCAGTTCTGACATGTTACCTGGTTACTTCAGTACCTCAAAAAAGGCCAGTTACAATGTGGTTCTGCTCATAAGTGGAGTTTACTCTCTGTTGCTTCACAGGCGTCTCTTTTTCCCCCTTTTGGACTTTACAAGCCAAATTCCACAGAACAAGAGATGAAGGGAAATTTGAATTGAAGGTGGCAGTTCTCCCAGCTTTCACCTATAGAAAGCAGCACTGCAGAATTCCCAGCCAACATGGAAGACTACAGGATGAAATGACGCCTTTCTCTCTTCAAGCCTATTTAGGAAAGCCTCTGAATGCAATTAATCACACAATTAGCACTGCACATCTAGAAGAAACAGTCAGAACTGCCAGTGGATTGGTGAGAAGCTGAAATCACAACAGAGACAAGAGTTAAGTTTAGCCAACTTACCATCATATAAGGGTCATCCACAATAGGATAAATATAATCTGTCGTCTGGACCAATGACAAACCTCCGTGTCTTAATGGAATAACACAAGTGTCCATCCCAATTCCTGCAAAGACAGAAATCCATGAGTGAGGCGAGTAACTGTGCCTTTAATTATCTGTTGCTCTTAACAAGACTACTTATAAAACATGTCTGTGAAATACAACTTGCAACACTTTCTAAACAGACATGGCAAATTCCTTCCTTAGAGAAAGCACACAGCACAAATAAGAGGAAAAACCAAGCAACCAAGCAAATAAGAGGAAAAACTAAGTTCCTGGCTGGCAACGAACATAAGCATAAATAGCTGAAGGCAAGAACTACAATGGAAGTAAACTACAATGTTCTTTATTCTCTTGCAGCAAAATAACAGCACATCAAGAACATCTGTGCTTGCATGTAAGTACATTTAAACATTTAAAGTTAAGAGGAATTATGTGCATTGACATTGTCAAAAGTAAATAGGTTTTCCTGTCACTCTGATCTCAATAAAAACACAGTGACAGCTTTAAAAGGACACAGCCTCTCATAAAGGACATTATTCCCTCACTTCAAGAGGAAGAACACTGCCACAAGTCACAGCCCTTGGTGAGAGATGATTCAAACACTTGGAGCTCTTGCAACTGTGTTAACCTCGCCTTATGCCTGTGAGGCTCGAAAGTGGCAGACAACCTGATAGACACAGAACTTCTCTGAGAAAACCACAACTCTGAGCACACACCCTTTGCCCTGACAATGAGTATTTCAAACAGAGTAAGCGATATTAAAAACCTCCCAGTGTTTGCTGTGATGGAAAAACCCACAGTAAAGGGGCAGGTGACAGATCACAACATGCTGGCTGAGCCACACTCCCTGTGGGTATCCTTGTAGCAATGGTAGGTAGTTTATCTCCAACCTGAGATGGCAGCAAGCCACCTGGAATTACTCTGCATACCTCACAGGGCAAGAGTCTTCAAAACAGCCTGTTTTTAGGAAGCAGATGTCACTTAGGAGCCTTTCCTATGCAAACACACTATCTGCTATCACTTGAGGTCTTGTTAAGGAGACAGGGAAGGTGTGTCAGGCAGTCAGTATATAGGTGGAGAGGTTCTTGCTTCTCCTGCCTAGAGAGGCAGGAGATCTTGCCTTGGAAGAGAACACATACTGACAGAAGCTCATGAGCAGTAACTTAGGGCTGCTTATCCTCCACAGAAGATGCCAAGCCACTCTGTGCGATGTCCAGTGTCTCCAGGGAAGGGCACACACACAGTTACAGAGAAGTGGCCCATGTACAGGAGCTGTTTTGCCCTCAGTTCACCTGTTCATGCCGTAATGCTGCAAGACTGACTTCACTTGTGCATTTTTCCACAACTGCAGCAGAAGTGCTGCTTGACAGACAGCCCAAGGAGCTATGATGGTCTTTCTGAGGCTACACTGATGTTCCACCAAGACAGGTCTAACTAAACAGTTTTTTACTTACAGCCACATTTAAGATTGCTCTGGGTAACATCACTTGCAGAACTAAAAAGGAGTGATCTTGAGCCTGCTATTGGCAACTTCCCTCCTGACTGCATCTCAAAAGCATGGTGCATATGCACAGGTGGTAAAGTTATCTGTCTATACCTTTTAAACACAAGGCATCAAAGGCAAATCACACCAAACTTATCCAAAGACACATTTGTGAAAGGGATACTCACCACAAGAGCATATTTTTAAGAGACCTGAGCTCTCCACCTTCTATTACTAACAGATTTCCTGTTACACAGTATCACACTCACATACTGATGGCATAAATCTACTTTTTTACCTTTTCATATAGCTGGAGAAGAAAAATGTATTAGCAGTTCCATTACTGTTTAGAGCTTGTAAGTTTGTAAGAGAAAAAAAATCCAAATCAAACTATTACTGATTTTAGAAAATTGCCAAATTGAAACGCTGCTGTGAACAATTTATTTAATTTAGAAAAATACATATAAACAGCAATTTGGGGATAAAAGAAGCTGGAAGTGTCCTTCAGCAGAGACTATTAAATTATAGTGCCACCCCAGCTTCACACACAATTGCTGCTTAGATATTTCTTACAAAGATCCCCATTGTTTAAGCAAGAACATGGGTCCCTTACTAATCTCTCACTGAATTCAACCTATAACAGAATAATTGTCTGAGACTTGTCAGCCTGCTAATAGACAATCAGCGATATTAAAATAATTTTAAATAAGGTTATTGGACACTAAATTGATAATTAAATAACCTCAGAATAAATGCTCCATTGATCTTCCTAAATTGAAGGAAAAAAAAATTCATTCTGCACTGCAAAATAGAGGTTGAATATGCAGGGCTGAGTAAACAGACAGACAGAGTTAAAAGTGTCATTAAACACATTATCGACATTAATTTATCTATATCAATATTAGGTACAGTAGCTGGTATCAAAATACCTACGTTTGCCCTGTTCCCCATGTAGGTGGCTTGTGCAGGTTGTTTTCCCTTATTGCTTGCATCATTGTGCAAATATCAAAGAGAAAGTGAAGCTGGCAAGAACACAGAGGTCTTGGAAAGGCAGCCTTTCCCAGGCAGCTTCTACAGGTGAGCAAAAGAGTTAGAGTGGGGAACAACGAAAGGACTGAAAGGAATAATGACAACTGTGAAACAATTTGCTCCCAGTCAGCTGAAGCAAGGAATTTTTTCTCTTGTTCACTTTTTGTGACCCAGGAACAGAGGAGAGGGGAGGAAGAGGGGAACTTGACCTGCAAGTCATCTAATTGCATAAAATTCATTGCATTCATTGCATAAATTTCCAAATGTATCAATATAAAATTCCAGAAATTAACTGAAAGGACTTCAGTTTGCACAGCATCTACTGGGGAAAGGGAGGAGCAGATTAACACCTAAGCACGTGCCTATCATGATGGCCACTCCTGAGTGTATTTCTTTTGTAGTTGAGTGCACTGCAGGATGTTAAACAAGTAAAATAATATTCCTGTATCCCAGATGCCAACAAGTGACAGCATGAGATTCATCCTTCAGCTTTCTGGATGCTGTGCATGCATTACACAACATACAGTTTTCGAACTGATTAAACAAACCACAAATGAGACCGTGTCACTAGGCACACCAAACAGAAGGACCGCACACGTGAGGAACAGCAGCTACTTACCCAACCTGGGCATAACTGCCCCCAAGAACTGTTCATCTTCCTGAAAATGGTTTTCTTGTAGAGACTCGAGCAGTTTCTGTAAGACATCCTGTGGCACTTTGCAGCCTGTGCCTTTCAGTTCAGTGAATCGGGTCAGGCGGAAGCTCTTGTCCAGTTCGTAACTTTCTGGGTTAAACGACTCCCGGACAGACATGGTTCTCTCCCACAGACTGCCGGCCTTTCCCACCCCACAGCAACGGGATCAATTTCTCTGCTGATCAGTCTTATTAAAAAATAAAATAAAAAAAAAAATTGGGACCATTAGAAATTCCTAGGACCTGCGAGACAACAGGTTTTCCACGTGGAGCAAAAAAGAGAAAGCACTCGATGCCGTTGTTCACCTGTTAAGACAGGTGTGCACATCTCACACAACTCATTTCCCTAAGACTACAAAGGAATGACTCCTCACCCTACCTTCTGACATTTAGAACTATAACTATGCCAGAATCAGAGAATTAAATTTTTTTCCAGATATGCTGCATATGCTGCATAAGGTTTTCATTAAAAAAAGAATCTAACACACTTACCAACCTCATTTAACACAGAGGTTACAAAAGAAAGACTAGTTCCCAGAGCACAGAGGCCAGCTTCCAAAAGGCAGCCTGGGCCTTGATCTTGCAACACGCTCAGCAGACACATCTACTTGTACTCGCTCAGTTAGGGGTCACAATTTTAGCCCTTAAGATATTAATCTCCAAAATAAGATGCTTTTCAAATACTGGCTCTGCTTCAGTCCTGATGTAAGAAGCTGAAAGTCCATAATACACCTGTTCTCCTTGGGGGAAAACACAATCCTGGTGCTCTGTTAGTACAGGTAACAGAAGAACAAAGAGGCCGTATTTAAGCAGATCGGTCCACCTACAAACACACCGGTTTACCTTCTGCCATGTACGCAGACATAAAAATGCTGAAAAGTTTCTTGCCTCTCCAGCCCTTTTTTAGTCAACTGAGAATACAGAGAATTGCCCATTAAAATGTTAATGTAAAAAGACACTGATGCAACTCATTTAATAAAATTCTTAACAATGCATGTCTAATTTTAGAACGTTTTTCCACTCTGACTCACATCCCACCACACTCCAAAACTAATAAGAGGCCTAAACCGAGACACTGACTTCTAAACAGGAATAGCTGTGATAAAATGCAATTCATCTTTCTCAGAGAAGAAGTTTTCAGGAATTACTAAAAACAACCTGAGGTATTTTCTTAGAAAGCAAGGATCCTGCCTCACAGCAACAAGAACAGAGATCAGCGGCATCACTGGCAAAATCTGATACCAACAGTCACATCCTAACAAGGTTAAGCTGAAAAGAAAAAAAACAAATGCAAGTGACTGGTATTTGCCAAGTTCAAGTTTGCTAAATGAAGAAGTAAATCTGCAGACTATGATGTATCTCCCCTATACAGCACTTATTAACAAGTACATCTGTTCCATAAACCTTCAAGTCTACTAATTTATTGATTATAATTCGTAGGAGCTGAAGTTTTAAGCTCCCCGAGAACTTTTGATGTGGAGCCCAACTCCCCCTTACAGTGCTTTCCCTCCTTCCCCGGGAGGTGTGGCATTTATTTAAAACAAATCTTCCAAAGCCCAGGCTCGGGCACTAATCCAAACTCTAGTTACAAGAACGTGTCTTGGATGAGCAATGAATTCAGTTCCTAGCTGTTGTCTTCCAATGCAAGACACTAAGCACTTGCAACCAGAAAAAAAAAAAAAAGTGTCTGGAAAACAACCTGTCAACAGAAAAAGGAGACAAAAGCTTTTCGAGGAGGGGGATTTTTTCCCCCCTCCATTCTTTTTTAACACTTCGTTCTAATTAATTCCAGCAATTTATAAAAAGCAGCTTGCCCCACAAGGAAAACATCTTCCCTCATCTAACCAGTAATTGCAAAAAGCTTAGCACCCCCTGTCTACCTACACAGGGATGGATGCGGAGGCCACAGCCCACCAGGAACTTTTCTGCAGCCTTGAGAACTGCAAAGACACAGTTCCCTCATTCGAAAACAAATCTTGAAACAAACAAGTCGGTTTCATTTAATGGCAAACACCCGCAGTGCAAGAACGCAGTAACTTCTTAATGAAGATCTGATTAAAGTTGCATGCAGCTGGGTATTTTGCAGACTGCCAGGGGAGCAACCTCCCCTGCAGGACGAAGTTTGGTGACTTCGGTGGTCACAGCACCGAGCCTGTCAGAGCTCTGGAAGCGTCTGGACAACGCTCTCAGGCACATGGTGTGATTCTCGGGGCTGCCCTGTGCAGGACCAGAAGCTGGGCTCGATGATCCTTGTGAGTCCCTTCCAACTTGGAATATCCTGCGATTCTGGTAGTCCAAGCAAAACGCGATGCGAGCGACAAGCATCCCTCCCCCGCAGGAGGAATCACCCCGTTACCCAGACGTTCCTTACTTTTAAAAGAGCGGCATAATAAATATTAAAAGCTAAAGTTTAACCCTTGCCTCCCTAAAGAGCAGTCTGAGGAGAGCATAGGAGCAAAAAAAAAGAAGGAGACGGGGTGGGGGGGAAGAAGGAAGAAGTGGATCCAGGTACATACCCAACGCAACCCCCCGAGCACCCGCCGCCAGCCCGACCGCCCGGGACACGCGAGGCGCGGAGCCGCGACACCCATCGACCCGGGGAGCGCGGCTGCGGGCGGGCATGGCTCCGGGACACCTTAAATTTCCAGCCGCTGCCTTTAGAGGCGAACCCGGGGCCTTCGCTGCCGCTCTCTTTGTGCAGACGGAGAGGAGGCGGCGGGGGAAGAGGAGGAGGAGGAAGGAGCTGCGCGGAGCGGAGCGGCGGCGGCGGCCCCTTCCCGCGGGTGCCCGGCCCCGCCGTGCCCCCCGTGTCCCCACGTGCAGGTACGGTGTCACCGGGGCGGGGTTCGCCCCTCGCTGCCGGGGGCGGCCGGTGGGATGTCGGGCACCCCTAC